AAGAAAGAGCCTCCGAGCATCACAAGCAGAAAATCCGTTTCTTTCCAGGTCCTGGTAAAGGGGCCGGCAAAAAGACTGATTGCTACCAGCTGAGACAGATGGTTTCCTTTAACTTTGCAAACTGCTATTTTTAATTACTTGTATTAATTTTGCATGAGATGTATCGGCTCCAGGAGGAAGCTTGGAGAAGGCTGTTAGCATCCCTGAAACAAATGGACAGAAGCCTCTGATTTGCCTCTTCTCACCTCCAGTTTTCCTTAGCGCACCTTCAAATGGTCGCCTAGATTCTCCCTTATATGCCTGGGAAAGACGTGAATTTATCCCCCTAAAAGTTGCTGTTGAGTAAAAAAGGGGAGGAAAATCTGAATTAGTGGGAGAGTGTATATTAATGATCGTCCATCCGAGGCTGCAAATATATTTTCCGAGACACTAGAAGCACGTGCAACAGATCTTAGACTGAGTATCTGCAGGCAAATCATTTAAAGGAGAATGACCCTCACACAAAATTTGCCCAGAAAAGATGTGTGGGGTGTGTGTGTGTGTGTGTGTGTGTGTGTGTGTAAGGCAATGGGGACAATCTAGGTAGGTCTCAAAGATTTGCTGCAACACTAGTTACATTTATTTATATTTTTAACATTTAAAGAAACAATTCACATATCCTTAAGTGTAAACAGCAACTTCAGGATTCAGGGGGAATTTCGTTGAATGTGCTTTCTTACTTTTCAGCCTTTCCCCTGGAACAGGAGTTTAAAGACACCAGGTAAAGAGAAAGTAAAGGATGTTTGTAATCCTGCTCACTGCCACCCCTGGCACTGTCCGTAACGGAAAGTGCTGGCAATATAAGAAATCCTTTGCAAAATCGTCTTTCAGGTCACTCACCTTTGGAGAAAAGGCTTTGCCCCTTTGCCAGGAGGTCGAAGGAGCCTGGAGAAGAATTGAGGGAGGGGAGGGAAGGTGAACTAGTAGGCACTTTTTTACCCCCCTGCGATTCCCACCGGGAATTCCGAGGATTAAAAATTCTGGAGTAGGTTTAACAGACTTCAAATACTACCTGGATTTGCATTTATTTTCCATGAACACTTTGATGAAAGTCAGGCTCATTCGGGCAGGAGAGTGTATGTAAAAGACAGTAGAAAGTGCGCAGTGAATTCCGGGCTCTAACCCTCTTGCCAGCTTAATTCAAAACAAACCTCTTTTTATGGAGTAGGACAATCTCTTCCTCAGAGTTCCTGGAATGAAACATTCCCAAGAAGTGCAGTTCCCGTGCCTCACAGGGAGGGACAGAAAACCGGATCAGGCTTTGTAAAACTCAATTCAAGGTCTGCTTGTCTCTGTCCATGGTGCTAATCTCTGCCTCATTCTTTTTCCGGGTAGCCACAGTCTTAATTCACATTGGTGTCAATTTTTACCACATTATTTTTGGTTATTTTGTTTTCCATACTGTGGAAGGAAAGTTGACACAATATTTTAAAGAAGAATAAATAAAGGAGCAGCATCAAGTTGTATAAAATGTGTATTTTTCATGCAAGGATTAAACTATCACATTTCCAATATGATGAACCACAATCCCCACTCTCCCCCAAAGCTCAACAAACTAACAGAGAATAATATTTTTGTTCCTCTGAGAGTGCTTACTGTTTGGAACTACTGCCTTAACCAAACATTGTAAACTCATTTACATAGCTTAATTTACTTTAAAAAGTTACAAGTAGTTTACAGCATCCTTTATTATAAAATGCTAAAAATCATTCTCTTCCTTGTCCCCAGGAGGACTAGGGTAAGGAGGTTATTTATCTTGAAAGACGTTGTCCACAACAGCTTTACAGATTCCTGTAAATGACTATTCTTTTTAAAAGAAACTTAGTAAAATAATCAAATGATCTAATTGCTTTCTTGGCTTTGAAAACTATTCTTTTTGCAACTGTTACACATCAAACTTTTCCTCCAAGCTTTCAGTAACTCCTTCTGTTTTCCCTCTGCAATTTAAAAGTAATGCCAAAGACTTTGGGGGTATGTCAGAGCTAACATGATTTAATCATAACTCAAATGTCTTTTAAACACTTTTTAAATGGAAGATCAGATGCTGTGGATAATTCTTTTACATAACTACGAATGAAGATGAGTTGATTATATTTTTGCTTAATCTGGGGTGAGATGTTTGCATATAGCTTTCATTAATCACAAAGTAACATGTATTAAAGTTTCAGGCAATGAAACATGAATTTCAAAGTGAAATCTACATCCAGATTTCACTTGTTTTAAGTAGCAGTACTCAATTTTTATTTTCATAAGTTGGAAAGTACATGTTGCTTACAGTTCATGTATCCATTTAAAAGTTTTAAAATTTAAAACATCTGTTTTATTGAGAAAATAAACTAGTATTTTAATATATTTTCAATTTCTTAAATAATGTAAGTTCATTTTATTTGCACAGAAAAGACATGTTTTAAAATGACAATATTTAAAAAAAAATTTGTTCCTGTGCCAAAACTGGAAAAAACCCATACATACTGAATCTGTATAATTCAGCATTTTGCATTTGAATGAACATTTATGATTTTATATGTAATTTGTTTACCAATACACATGCTAGATTTTCATTACTCTATACTATCCCCAGATTTCCACATTATTCTCACCCCCCTTTTGGAAAATATACCACTGTAATCTATAAACTTTTCTTGTGGTTACAAAATGCACTAAAAAATAAAGTATTAGTTTCCACTGAATTATAGAATGATAATGATAAAGATTTTCTTCAAAATGCTGAGATTACATGAGCATGTGCAACTAATTCAATATTAATTTAAGAGCATGGTAACAAGGAGAAAAGACAATTCACAATAGATAAGTCTTCAGTATTATATTTTTACCTAAATTGTATTTATTTAAAGGTTATTTCTCTCACTGAGGTAGGGGTGAGGAGTTAAAGGAAGATGACTACAAATCCAATCTTCTGGTATTCATACATCTATTCTAGATAAGATGGAGTCTTTCTGTCTTTTTCCCAACCCCTTGATTCCATTTCTTCAAAATGCTTTTCTTTTTGCCCCCAGTTTCACTCATGTCTATAGAATAGTTAAAAGTTGAAAATAAGACCCCAGAGGTTGTTATATAAAGAGTGGGGGTAAGGGTTAGGGCATGATTTTGGGGGGGGTCATGATTTTCATAACTGCTAATTGTAAGATAACATAGTGTCAGGCCTTTTTTCTCAACACCGACTTATCGTCAGGCAAAGAAACAGAACTCTGGCATTGTTATACTGGCTATAAGGGAGAAAAACAGGTCTATTATTTGCCATTAGTCATGTATCAGCACTCAAGGACACTCTAAAGGAACACTGATTTACTTTATTCTTCACTTTCAAGTCATTTTGCTCTGGGACCATCTGTCCATTCCCCCTCTATGACACCCCACCCACCTGGAATTTCTAACTCTTCTCTTTCCCGCATTCTCAAACCGTGACTAGCAATAAGTAGGTAAAGGAATTCCTTTCAAATAGGCATGTGCCTCTAGATACCTTACATTTTTGTGTAATAAATGTAAGTACTGTCTAGGAAGTTGGTGTTATCTTCCAAGATCCAAATGAGGCATTCTGGCTGGAAAAGATGCAGGTCAAGTAAATATTGTCTCTATTTATACATCCGGACGATCCTGAGGACCTCACTTTCATTTAGAGGAAGACCTAAATATCATGAATAAAATTGTATTTCTTTCTCCTGAATGTTATTAAAATTTGGGATTGTAACAAAGTATTCTTCATCTATAAAGCAGAAACATTGATAGCACTTGGTCATCTGGTTAAACTTTTTACATCCTCAGAGAAAGAATCTTGATAAAAGGTTCCATTATCTTTGCTGTTAGCAGTACATGTGTGGTCTAAGAACTGCACTGCCTGCAAATGCAGAGGAGTGGCTTGTTCTAATTTTATATACAGCTGCTCTTTTTGAGTCATCAGACACCTCAGAGTGAAGGACCTTAGCTTTACTCAGTACCCCTTTTCCTGAATAGGATGTTTATTCTACACTTTTCTCTTCCAAGATGAAATGAAAGCTAATTCAAACCGTGCAGCTCTAAGAGTATTTCTGACTTCATCCTTATCCTAAAAGGACTGGGGGAAAGGGTATGGGGTGGGGGTAGAGAAAATCTACAATATGCATATATTAAAATAGAGAAAGACATACAATTGCCCAATATTTAATACAAGATGCAGTACTAGAACACAAATCGAAAAAGGCATGCGGCCAAGTAATGGATGTACATTCATCCCTTTCACTCAGATCAAAGAGAAGGAGCTCTCAATGACTCATACATACCGGACAGAGAGTTTAATGTTATAAAGAAACATGCCATAGATGCAGCAGTGATGGCAAAGGAATGAATCTTTCTGAAGTACAAAAATTTAAGAGGAAAAGAGATCGTGCCATATCGCAAACTCTGATAGTACAGTTCCAACCCTCCCACGTTGCTCTCTCCCCATTTCTTTTTGCTTCTTGCATTTCCCTTCGCCGCCAGTGTTAAGTGTGTACCTCCCCGCACAACTTACCTTGAAACGGGACTCCATTGAGCTCTCGAGAGTGACACAACCTCTTAGCCAATCGTATCACGCGGCCCCGCCTGGGCGGTCTCAATGGAAGCATCTAAACCAATCAAGACCCTGGAGCGATGAGCAAGTTACGTTGTGGCGCGACTCGGCGTATACTTCCGCGCGTGCTGGCCGGGATAGGAGCCTGGCAGAGCAGCTGCACACACGGCAGTGCGGAGGCAGAGAAGGGGTTGGTGATACGGTGCTATAAATCTGTGGTCCAGTCCACCTCCTTTTTAAGACGTCCTCCCCCGTTATTTCTGGTCTCACTTAGAGATGCAGCAGCTTACTCCTGTAGCGACCTACTAAAAAAGCAACAAGGAGAAAGACATCGTCTTTTTGAAAAAACGTTCTTTCGTCTCTTTTCTTTGTTCCTTGGTTTGTTTTTCTTGCCCCTTTTTGTTTAGTTGAAAGGCAATAGGAGGGTAGTCTCTCCGTCTTTTTAAACTCTCTTTTTTAAGTTTCCCCTCCCCTTTCATATTTTTTTTTCGCCATTTCTTTTAGCATTGGACTTCGGGGTCGAAAGCATTTCTTTTTATTTGCTTCTTTTAAGCCGAGCACAGTTTAGGTTTCGTGCTGTCTTAAGAGAACTATCCAGCAGCTTCTTGCTCATCCTTATTGGGAGAACTGCACCGTTACTTTAAAAACACACATACACAAAAACCTTAAGGGAGAAAGGTAAGTTTCGGTTTGGTTTCTTTAATCATTAGTTGCAGCGATGCGCTGGCAAACCCAGAAAACCTGTAAGTGAGCAGAATACAGAATATGAAGTTAAATGCACATTTGTCTCATTTCAAAGCTACTGTTCTGCTTTTTAATTCCAGTGAGCTATACTAAAAGACGGTGGACGCATGCTTAACGTATTGAGTATTGCAAATGCTAATGGTAGAAACTTAAGGGGTAAATGTGGCGAGGGACGAGCAGAGTACAACGGGAGACTAGATGTTGAGTGAGCTTTGGGACTGAGATTGGAAGTTCATTTCGTGGGAAGAGAAGGATAACTTGGGTGTTGGGGGATGCATGCCTCTACTTTCGCAAAGCAATCGGAGGACCTGAGAGGCTTTAGTATCATTAAGAGAAATCAGAAGCCTGGACTTGCAGCTTAGACCAGCGAAAACCTCAGGCTTAATTGCATTAACCAGATAGCATGTGCTGGGGAGATGGGATTGCCAGATGGAATTTAGATGCTGCACCAGGCAGCGAGTTGTAGTTGACTGAAAAAAAGTACATGCCGCCTGAGGGCTGGGGCTGGGCTGGGGCTAGGGCGGTTAGAAGCTGTCAAAACTCATCACTGAATGAGGGCTTTACTTCTTGGACTCCAATTACTGTAATTCAGTTTTAAAAGAAGATAGCCAATTTGGGGCCGAATTCTTAAGCCTGTACCGGATATGAGATTCCCTTTGTTCAGAAAAGCGTAAATAAGATCCTTGGAGCTGTCTGTGTCTGTGAAGTGGCGGCTGCCTGGGAGCCCTCGCTGTGTTGGGCGCTGGGAAGTGGATTCCAAGCCCTGTCCTTGGTCCTACGCGGCTGACTTCGCCTTCGGGGCGAGGGAGAACCCCTTCACAGCCGCGAGGCTTCGTAGCCACCGCAGGAATCAATTCGGCTACGTATCCCTCACCCCCTCCTAACCGCTCCCCCTTCCTCGAATAGCTATTGTTAAACTGACGCCGGGAGAAAGATGGTTGGGGATGAGAATCTGGGCAGACAGGCACAAGCTTCATTTTAACTTTTGGGATTTCTCAGGGGTTAGCAGAAACCAGCAGGCTTTCTACTGCGAAAGGGAGAATCCAGGGTAGAAATGGGAAAGGGGGAGGATGTTTGCCGGGCAGGCAGGGCGGAGTGGGTGGTGGTGGAACCAGGTGCTGGCTTTGCCATGAAGTTTAAATTGTTGGCACGAGAGGGTGTGGGTGACTGTGTGCGTGAGATCGCCAGTGTGGTGCTTGAAAGGCAGAGGAGGGGGAATGGTACAAAGCCGGTTGGGGTTAACGTCTCGCTGCTCTCCACCCCACCCAGTTCGAAAAGCCAGAGCACCAGCAGCCTCCTCGGACTCCACTCTGCTATGGAGGATAGGGGCTAGGGGTGGCAAGGTGGCAATGCCCACCATGGGAGCTCCGCGGCGGACAGGACCTCGAGTGGCCATTGTTGCTTAATTTATGCCCAGCACGTTGCTACGTACCCACCTATTTCACGTCTTCAAAGAATTAATACGAGAGCTATACAACTGTGGCAAATTGGAGGTTGGATACGTTCTTCACTTTCCATTTTCAAGTACAGGCTAGCAACACTAGTGCCGAGACTGGGTATTTTCTCACGTAATTACCATCTGCAGGTTTGGCTTTATTATGGAGAGGGTGAGAAAAATAGCCAACATTTAGTATTTACTCAACACTGCTGGACGGGGAAGGATGTCTCTGTACTTTCTCCCCGAAATGCATGGATTCTCTCCCATCCCCCACGCATGTGCAAGCACACTGGTTGGTTAAGATTCTAAACCTTTAGCCCTTTCTCCACACTATTTATTATACCCATCTTCTGGATGGTGGCGGTGGGAGGGAGATGAATACGTTTTATTTCCTAGGCCTACACTACTAACTTCAACCTATAAAAATGTAGTCTTAAAATGAAATGGGAAAAAAGTACAGAGCGGACAATGGTAACCGAAGAAATTACTTTCCTAATTGAAAATCAATCCCAAAGGTTAGGAAAAGAGTGTTTGTGTTTTGGGGGAACAGAAGGGTAGCTAACCTGTTTAGGCCCATAAGACTTCCTGGTAAAATGGCCTCTAAAACGGGACATTTGAAAGATTTGTCAGAATTTGAGCAAATAAGTTGGCAAAAAAGAAAAATGTTGAGTGTTTCAAAGTCGCTTTTTATGGGGTTGAATTTTTTTTTTTTAAAAAACAACGATTTCCCTTAGTTACTGCTGTCATTCTCTGAGTCTACAGCAGGCATTTCAACTTTGCTTTGCCTCTTTTAACCAAGTGCTTAGGCACCCCGCTTTAGAAAGCTAACCTCTTCTGGAGTTCTCCACAAAAACGCTAGTGGTTTGGAAGACTTGGGGAACTCTGTTGAGAGGTCTTTCATAACTTCAAGAAGTAAGCTTCAGGAAGTAGGGTGTAGAGCATTGTAAGAGTTTTATAGGCTTGGACAAACTAGGTAGGCCCATTTTCACCTAACGTTTGGAAACAGGTATTCTTAGCAATCCTATGTGCCTGGGAATATTATAATTAACTGTTTAGAGGGAGGTCAAAGAAGCGCAGGCGCTATGAGCAGTTTTCCCAAGAACCCGTACAAAGTCAATTAAGGTCATTTAATTGCAAATCGGATTTGGGGTGACACAGAAATGGTAATATAAAATCAATCAGTTATTTCAGGGGTCCCCAGTCTTGGTCCCCCTAATTAAGGGATGGCCTCTTTCCATTTTGACCGCATTTGAGCCCCCTACTTTTCTAGGATGAATTGACTTCGCCCTGGAGGGCAAATGTGCCTCTTTCACCCCTGCCTCGGGTTAGACGAGTCCTCTCCCTTTCCCATTCCCTGCCCCGCCCGTCGCGTGGGGGTGGGAGAGCGCTGGGGCGCCCTTAGCGGACCTTGCTGCATCAAACCCGCATCATGCCCTTGAAGCTGTAACCTCGGTCACGTTCTTGCGGCGACTCAGTTGCCCACCGCTCAGTTCCTTTCTCTTACCTCCTGCGATTTCAGGTAGGTATGACAGGTGGTATTTTTAAATGTAGTTTTTTAGGGAGAAGAGTAAAACGGAAGCCTTTGCAAAGAAAAAAAATCCCAGCACGACAGGTGCTCTCGTAATTAAGCGGCCGAGCAGGTGTAAAAACGTGCTCCTGCTGCGTGGCTCCAGGGTCGGTTTTGACTCCCAATTGTGGGGCCGGGTCTGAGGACAAGCACAGGTTTTTCTGTGGGAAAAGGGATTGAGCCCGACCAGGCGAGGGGGCGGGCCAAGGCAAGGCAGTTATGGGATGGTCCCTCGGTTAAGAGTTGGTCTTTTCGGGCGTGCGTGGGGGCGTTCAAGGATGCGGCTAGCGGCAGGCGTTTGCCTAGTCCAGTGCAGGATTTCCTACTTTGCCTTGGAGGCAGAGTATAGCACCCCGCACAGGTACTTCGGGCTTATTTAAACGTCAGATTCCATCCATCTAGGCAGGGAGGGGCAGCGGGGCTAAGCTCTTAGTTTTCCGTCGAGGAACAGGACCCTTGGGCTGTGAAGTAGGGGTAAAGAGGTCTTTTAACTTTGAGATATATGTGTATATATGTATGTATATATTTGATACACATATATATCAAAGTAACCCCCACACTAGCCACTTTGACTCTCCGTTAGCGGCTGGAGCCTCAGGGTTTGCAAACTTGCACCTGAAAGCGTCCGCCTCTGGGCGCTTAATACTCTCCGCTCGGTCCTGAGAAACCCGGTCCGGGGGTCTGCTGGGAATCGGAAACCTGGAGGGACAGAGCTGAGCGGCCGCAACCGAGCGAATACCCGCAGGCACCGACTCGCGGGGCGGCGGGGCAGGGCACGCGCCGGCGGCAGCCGCGGCGCCACGAACTCGCCGCCGGCCCCGCCTCCTGGCGCTCTTCCAAGAAAGCCCCTCCTCCCCGCCCGGCTACAAACGGCGGGATCGCGGCGCCCGGGCGTCACTGAGGCAGCAGCCGGCCGGGTGAGAAGGGCGGTCGCCGGCGCGGGTGGGGCGGAGATTCCGCCGGGCTCCAGTCCGCCTTCCCGCCGCCGCCTCTTCGCGGAGCTCGCCTGGAGCGACTCCTCCGCGGCTGTGCTGACGGCCAGCGGCACGAGCCGTAGTAGCTGCAGCTCCGAGTCACAGCAGGCAAGTGCGGGGGGCGTGGGGGCGGGGACGGCGGCCGCGCCTTGCCTTGCTCTGCCTCTGATCCTTTTTGGACGCCGGGGCTAAAGGCTGTGCGCGTCCTCGCGGCGCCTGGCTGGAGCTGGGGAGGTCCGGCCTCGCCTGGGCTGTAGTCTTCGTCCCGACTCAGGGTGGGAACGCTGGTGGGGGCGGCGGAGGTTGCGCCCGCGAAGTTCCTAGAGCTCGGCCCCTGGTGGCGGGAGTGGAGGGAATTGGGCGCTTTGGGAGGTGGCACCGCCCCTCCCGTGGGCACAAGCAGGTTGGAGGCTGCGGGAGCCGAGCGGGGCCAGTCGCGCCAGGCAGCGTGCACGGGCGTAGACGTGCCTGGGCACGGCCGCGTGTAGCGCGAGGAAACTGTGCCGAGACGCAGGTGAGTGTATTGGAGGGAAAGTGGGGGTGGGGGCTTTTCTAGAAAAAGGGCAAGATTTCCTGTGGGGGACTGGCAACCCCGCCTTGTGGGAGGATGTGTGCACTGGGTCTTCCTGCCGAACACGCCGGGGTGGTGTCTGCTGTGTGCCTACTTGATAGCGCGCTTCCTCGCGCACGTTTCTTGGATCTCTCCCGGCGTCTGGAGACTTGCAGCGGCCACGCGTGTGCGGAGGTTGCGTGGGTGCCCGGGGTTAGAAGCAAAGATGATTCTCCTTACGCGTGTTAGGTGAGGCCGGGCGCGGCCGCGCGAGGTCGCAGCTCGCGGTCACATCCCGCGTTTGCGCGCTAGCCGGGCGCTGCGCGGGAAGCGCGGGCGCTCTGCTGGGTGAGGCAGGCTCTGGGATAAGCTCTCTCGCGGTGCGGAATCTGCTCCTCGGGCTCC